GGAGAGGCACCCGATATATATTCTCTAAGCCTTTCAGAAAACATGGAGTTGTCCCTTTGGCAACATATATGTGAATCTACAAGAAAGGTGATATTGTAGACATTAAGGGAATGGGTACTGTTCAAAAAGGAATGCCCTACAATTTTACCATGGCAAAACTGTTACCCAGCATGCTATTGGCAGTGTTGTAAACGAACAATTTAAGGGCAAGATTCTTTTTTTTTTTTTTTTTTTTGGGGGGGTTTTTGCTATAGGAGATGTGTGCTCGTCACAGAGAGAGAGAGACAGAGAAACAGAAAGTGAGAAATCACCCCCTAGGGGGGATGGCCATGCCTCAATCCCTTCTCCTCCATTCTCCTCTCGGGATCTTGGGCACACATGCACACATGCCCAGTGTGAGTTTCAAGCCACCAGGTCTGGGACTCGAACCATGGTCAACTACGTGGGAGTCCTGTGACATAGCCATTACGCTAACTGCTGGTCCCATAGAGAGCTTTTTAAAGATAAATATTATTTGAAACAAGAGTATGTTTATATCAGGACATGAAATATTAATAATTATGTAGAGAGGCCAAGCTATTTAAATTTATCTGTGAAGTGGGGTCAGTGGGTGCCATAATGGTTAGGGTGCTGGACTCCCACAGTTTGAGTTCTGGACTTGGTAGCTTAAAACTCCAGCTGGGTGTGTGTGTGCATGCCCAAAATCCTGAGAGCAGAATAGAGGAGAAAGGACTGTAGTGTGACCATACCCCAAGGTTTTTAATTATTTTTTCTTTCTGGTTTGCCTTGGGGGCCAACAGCTGGCATGGTGGTTAAGCGTACTGGACTCCCATATGGCCAACCACAGTTCAAATCCTGGACCTAGTGGCTTTTTTTTGTCCCTCTCTAGTCAAAATAAAAAGAAGTAAATACATAAATAAAGTTAAATAAAATAATTCTTTAAAAAATAAAAAAGTTTGCCTTAATTGAGTAGAATTATGTTCCCTCTCCAAAACTAATTTTTATTAGGCCCTAATTCATTTTATAATATCTTTATTCAAATTTAGTATTTTTTCACCTGAAAGATGTTAGGTGATTTATACAACAAATAAAACTCAGTTGGTTAGAAAAAATAAATTATAATCCCTAACATATTCATGAAGATAAGTTCCAATTAAATTTTTTTTTGAGAGTTTTTTATTGCCATAGGGCGTGTGCGCTCGCCAGACAGACAGAGAGAGACAGAGAGACAGAAAGCGAGAAATCACCCCCCAAGGGGGATGACCACGCTGCAACCCCTTCTCCCCCATTCTCCTCTCGGGATCTTGGGCACGCACGCACACACGCCTGGCGTGAGTTTTAAGCCACCGGGTCCAGGACGTGAACCATGGTCGACTACATGGGAGTCCAGCGACATAGCCATTACGCTAACTGCTGGTCCCCCAATTAAATTTTTAAAATGAATATATAATAATAAAATCATTGCAAAGTAGTTGGAGAAGTTAAGGATGTATTAATACATGGTGTTAAGCATTTAACATTTAAATGACATAGAATTATTTAATTTGGCCACAGTCGTAACACAATGCTCCTTAATGTGGAAGGCATATGGGAAAGTCCTATGTTCAAGTCCCAGGGTCTCCTTGGACATGCCACATATGTGGGTATGTGCCCATGATTCTTACTGTCTATGGCTGGGGATAGATCTCAGCACGGAAACCCTGCTGGGGGCATGTGCCCCTCACACATGTCCTTCTCTTTATACATAGTTAAAAAATAAATAAACTTTAGGGACCAACAGATGGTGTAATAGTTACATTGCTAGACACCCACATGTTCAACTGTGGTTGAAGTCCCAGACTCAGAGGCTTGAAACTCAAACCACAAACATGTGCATGCATGGCCAAGATCCCAGGAAAAGAATGGAGGAGAAAGGATTGCTACATGGCCATCCACATGTAGGATGATTTCTCGCTGTCTCTCTGGCATGTATACGCACCCTAGGGCACAAATCTCTCTTAAATAAATAATTTATTTTTTTGAAAAACAACAATTTTAAAAATATTAGAAGTTAAATATTTTTTAACTTCCTTTCCAAAAGGAAGTCAGTAGCAAACATGGAAAAATATTTAACTTACTAATAATTTTAAAGAAACAGAAACCCTAAAAGTACTTTTATTTATTAAATTTCCAGATAATATCAAGTGTTGTTTATCTTATAACATTGTTGGTGTGTGAAAATTAGTTATGCCACTTATATTTATCATCAGTAGTCCTCTCTAGAAAATTTATCCTAAAGAAATGATTCAGAGGAAGGAAAAAAAAGCCAGCTCTATTGAGTATATTTATTATTTTTACTATTTATTTTATAGGAAGATCAAAAACAACCCCAAACAACCAACCAAGTAGAAAACATCAAATTATTGTATCAACGTATATTTAATTAAATATTTTATTTATTTACTTATTTTGCTGTGGGGTACATTTACTCACTGGAGACACAGAGATAGAAGGTGAGAAATCACGCCCCCAGGTGGCAACTGCCATGCCACAGTCCCCTCTCCTCCATTCTCCTATTGGGATTTTGGGCATGCATGCACACATGCCCAGCATGAATTTTAAGATGCCAGGTCTGAAACTAGAACCACAGTCAACTACATGGGAGTCCAGCAACGTAACCATTATGCCATCTGCTGGTCCCAATGAAATATCTTATACCTGGGGCCAACAGGTTGTGCAGTGGTTAAGACACTAGACTCCCATGTGGCCAACTGTGGTTTGAGTCCCAGATCCAGTGGCTTGAAACTCACAGGAGACACATGTACAAGTGTGCTCAAAATCCCAAGAGAAGAATGGAGAAATGATGGCAGTGTGGACAGCCCCCCAGGGAGTGATTTCTCACTTTCTTTCTCTTTCTCTCCTGTGAACACACATGCCCTATAGCAAAAATCTCTCTTAAAAAATATACTTTATAAATGCATTTTATACCCATTTAGAAATGATGTTTATTCTTATGAAAAAGTGCTTTTTTGTTTTTGAGAGAAACTGAATGCACAATTTGTGTCCTTATTAAGATTGCAACAGTAAAAGGAACATTAGAAAGAAACAGAACTTTTTTCTTAACAACCGAGACTTAGTCATTTTTAAGGACCTGATACATCTTAAATACTTGTAAGAAATAATTTTTTTTTAGAGAGAGATGTTTTTGTTATAGGGCCCATGCACTCACCAGAGAGACAGAAAGCAAGAAATTATCCTCCGGGGAAAATGGCCACACTGCAGTCCCTTTTACTTTATTCTCCTCTTGAGATTTTGGTCACGCATGCACATGTGCCCAGCATGACTTTTAAGCCAACGGGTCTGGAACTTGAACCACAGTTGACTACATCAGAGTCCAGCAATGTAACTATTAGGCTATCTGTTGGTCCCAAGAAATAAGTTTTTACAAATATTAATTTTGAGTTTACTTATAGAACATCTAAAAATATATAGAAGACTTCAGGTAAATCAAAAGTAGTTTCTCAGGGTAAAATTTTTATGTGTTTTGTACATGCATTTGTTGAATTAGCTTGTTTCTGTTCTGATTTAGCTGGGAACGGCGGGTTGACAACATGGGACGTATTTATTATGTTGACCATTTTACAAGAACAACAACATGGCAAAGGCCAACGTTGGAATCTGTCCGGAACTATGAACAGTGGCAGCTACAACGTAGTCAACTTCAAGGAGCAATGCAGCAATTTAACCAGAGATTTATTTATGGGGTAAGCAGTCTATTATATAAACTAGCTAGAGTGTGCAGCTTTTAACCCTTTCCTAGATATGTTATGTAAAACACTAAAAAGAAAATATGTGTAGGATTATCAGTGCAACCCAGTTACTGCATTGATAGGGATTATTTTTAGACCTCATTTTAAGTATTTTTTATAAGAAGGTTTTGCCTTAGGTCACATGTGCTCCTTGGGGAGAGATGATGATAGGGAAAGTAAGAAATCATTCCCTGGGGAATGGCCACGCTGCAGTCTCTCTCCATTCTCTTCCCAGGATCTTGGGCACACACATACATGTGCCCAGAATGAGTTTAAAGCCACCTGATCTGGGACTCGAACCACGATCAGCCATTGGGGAGTCCAGCGACATAACTGCTATGCCATCTGCTGGCCCTGCCTGAAGTATTCTGTGTTTGCGATCTAGTCTTTCCTTTTCTGTAATTTCTTGAAGCCCAACCACCTTTCTTTTTTTTAATCTTTTTTTCTTTATGTAAAAAATAAACAAAAAAAAAGTTAGCTCAATGTAGAATTCCTGAACAAAATATAAAAATAAATCCAAGCAGTTTGAAAAGAATGAAAACTATTCTAAATTTAGTATGGCATAAACTTAGCAGAACATTTGAAGACTTTGATCTAATAGCACCTGACTCCTAAGTGGTTGTACAGAACTGTAGATAGAGTTGAATAATTTTTTGACATTTAAAGGTAAAGTTTATCTAATAAATTATTTGGTGTTCTGGAGACTGATGAAATTTAGTTTTTGGAGCTATACTGTTTTAGAATTAGTTTCTTTAAGAAAAATTAATGAACTGAGTAAGAATTATAATCCCTACCATACTTATGAGGATAAGTCCAATTACATTTTTAAAATGAGGGTGGTTTAGGCGCTGGACTCTCAAATGGCTGACCGAGGTTTGAGTCCCAGACCTGGAGGCTTGAAAATAATGCTGGGTATGTGTGCATGCATGCCCAAAATCCTAGGAGGAGAATGGAGGCGAAGGGATTGTGGCATGGCTATTCTCCCAGGAGGTGATTTCTTATTTTCTCTCTCTGTTTTGCTGGTAAGTATACACGCTCTCTAGCAAAAATCTCTCTCTCCCCCAAAATATTAAAAAGTTAGTATATTGGGTAATTGAAAAAGTTATGACACATTTTTGCACAGAAAAATATGTCATGACTTTTCCAGTGACCCAATATAATAGTAAAGTCATTGCAAAGTAGTTGGTGCTAAGAAGGTTGTTTTTTTCCTACTATACAAAGGGCTAAACCAAATCTGAGTGACTTTATAATAATTAATCCTTATCTTCACATTATTAAGGCAAAATGAACTCATGAACCCTACACAGAGTTAGTACTACTTTTGCTTCTCTTTCTCTGAATACTGACTCCTGCTTTCCATTGATCTTATCTATCCAAACCCCTGTCCACTGTGATACTTACAGACAGAACTGTGAAAAGTCTTCCATTTAATTCTAGGCTTATTTTTTTGAAGTGTTTTTATTTTTTTAAAGAATTTTTAAAATTTAATTTTATTTATTAACATAATTTTTGGAATGTGACCAGAGAGAAAGAAAGAAAGTGAGAAAGCCAGCCACCAGGTCTAGGACTCACAATTGGCCATGTGGGAGTCTAGCGCCTCAACCAGTATACCACCTACTGGACCCTGTTCTAGTCTTATTAACACCCTCCAGCTGGAGCTGGAATTCTTTCCCTTTACTCATCTGACAGCCTGATCTTCCTGTTCCCCCAACTCTCTTTTCACAATTCCTTGTATGTCCTCTGTGCGGTATGTGATTTTCTGTTTTTGAGTTACACATGAAAGATTTCTTTCAGCCATTTACTGACTCTGGGTAGTGGTATTGCAATTAACTTTTGTAGGGGGCCTTATGTCTTTTAATTTTTATATTACTGATGTGAAATCTATAGCAAAAAGAAAAAAAATGGTCATTTTGAGTGTGAGACTTACGTATTTGCAAAGTATTTTAACTTCAAATGACTTTTTTTTGGAGAGGTTTTTGCTATAGGGCACGTGTGCTCGCCAGACAGAGAAAGACACAGAGACAGAATGCGAGAAAGCACCCCCTAGGGGGGATGATCACACCGCAATCCCTTCTCTTCCATTCTCCTCTTGGGATCTTGGGCATGCACGCACACACACCCAGCGTGAGTTTTTAAGCCACCAGGTGCGGCACTCAAACCACTGTCAACTACATGGGAATCCAGCGACATAGCCATTATGCTAACTGCCGGTCCCCAAATGACTTTCTTAAAAAAATTAACTAATTGATTAATTTATAATGAGAGGGAGAGGGAAAGTGAGAAAGGAAGTAGCCAGGTCTGGAATGCAAACCACTGTCAGCCATGTAGTAGTTCAGCACCTTAACAACCTTAACCAGCCTCTACTTTTCAAATAACTCTAAATGTTAGATAATGTTTGCAGAGGTTTTTAGTTTTAAGTCCACTGAAGTATATTAACATTTATTCATAACCATGTGGTACTTCTCTAGAATATGAGCTCTGTAAGTGTTTTGGTGTACATGGCTAGGGAAAGTATATCAGAATTTTTAAGCTTCCTCTCAAATAATCTGTTTAAGTTGTTAATTATTTCACCATTTTTTGCTTCTTTTTAGAATCAAGATTTGTTCGCTACATCACAAAACAAAGAATTTGACCCTCTAGGTCCTTTACCACCTGGATGGGGTAAGTCACATGGGTTTTTTCATTGAATTCTTTTTTTTTTTTTTTAACTGCCAGAGGGCACATGATGCTTACCAGAGAGAGAGAGAGAGAAAGCACCCCATTCCCAATCCCCAGTAAGGTGTAGTCACACTGCAGTCCTTTTCCTTATTTTTCCATCTCCTGTCAGGATATGGGGTATGTATACATACATCCCCAGGGTGTTTTTCAGTCTTCTGAAGTCAGGATTCAAATCACAGTCAGCCATGTAGGATCCAGCTTATCATGCACAATGCTAAACTGTTGTGCCTTGAGGCTGACCTTAAATTCTGTTTGGATTTTTTTTATGTGTGTGTGTGTGTTGTTTTGTTTTGTTTTTTAATTTGCCAGAGTGCAGGTGTGCTCACCAGAGAGGAGAGAGAGAAAGTGAAAAAGCATCCCTCCATGGGCGATAGTCACACTGTGATCTCTTCTCCGTATCTCCTCCTTTGGGAATTTGGGCATACTCCCAGTGTATTTTTAAAGCCGCCAGGTCTGGGACTCAAACAAAGCAGTTGGCCATGTGGGATCTAGCTGCCTGAATTCTGTCATTTAAAAAAATTAAAAAATCACTCATTGGGTCATCAAAAACGCCTTGACATATTTTTCTGTGTTTCTCTAAAATATGCAAAAATGTGTCATGACTTTTCAGACAACTCAATATTTGGGACAGCCACATAGAACAATGGTGAGTACTGTGCATAGGGAACTGTATCTCATAGCTAACCCTGGCCCTGTTAGCTTGAAAAACACACCAGGTGCATGTGCATGTGTGCATTGCCTAAAATCCTGATGGGAGAGAGAAACAAGAGGAAAAAGGATTGCACCATGACTGCGTCCCATTGGAGATGGTACATGCGCACACAACTTCTAGCAATAAAAGTCAAATATTTATGGCTAATCCTCTGTTCTTGGCTGACTGACTTTGAGTAACCATCTGGGAAGGTTTTTGTGTATGTTCGTTTAATTCAGAGTGCTAAAATTAAATTCCTCAAACATTCTGAGTTGACATTTGTATTATAAACTTTGACTAGAATTCAGGATTATTTTACTCTTTTGATGTATAAAAATACTTATCACTCAGCAATAAAAAAGGGGTACTATGTAACTATGGAAGATTTCTGTATCTTTATTGTGATGGTGATAACATGAATCTGTACATGGTGTAATGTGTATAGAATTACACATTCACATAAATAAATTTGGCTTTAAAAGATGGTGAAAACTGAACAAGATCTGTTGTTAACAGTATTGTACCATTGTCAATTTCCTGATTTAATGTCGTCTTATAGATTTATAACACAGCACCATGAAGGAAAACTAGTTATAAGATATTTTGAGACTCCATATTATCTTTATATCCTATTAACTATCATATGTTCAAAATGAAAAGCTTTTGAAACATTGTGATTTGGCCAGCCTTTTGCTCAAGAACCTGCATGCACACAGGCCCGGTGTGAGTTTTAAACCTCCAGTTCTGGGACTGGAACCAAGGTCGGCCTTGTGGGAGTCCAGTGTCATAACCATTATGTCATCTGCTGGTTCCATTGTAGATGGCCCCACTGTGGGATAATTTCTTCCCAACTCCTCCTTTCTCAGGCAAGCACATGTACCTACTGGCAATTTATAAAAAGCAGAAAGAGGGACCAGCAGTTAGCGTAATGGCTATGTCGCTGGACTCCCACGTAGTCAACCGCAGTTCGTGTCCCGGACCCGGTGACTTAAAACTCACGCCGGGCGCGTGTGCGTGCATGCCCGAGATCCCGAGAGGAGAATGGAGAAAAAGGGATTGCGGCGTGGCCATCCCCCCTGGGGGGTGATTTCTCACTTTCTATCTCTCTGTCTCTGTCTGTCTGGCGAGCGCACACGCCCTATAGCAAAAACTGCTCCAAAAGGAAAAAAAATTATTTATTTATTTTTACTTATTTATTCATTTATTTTAATTTGACCAGAGAAAGACCCAGAAAGAGCAGGAAAGTGAGAAACAAGCCACCAGATCTGGAACTTAACCATGGTTGGCCACATGGGAGTGTCCAGTGCCTTAACCACAATGCCACTTGCTGGCCCCAACTAGCCCTTGGTTTTATCATTATCCTCATCATCCTGATCTTTTTGGCTTTTATTTCAGCCAACAACACTTTGCTAAAATACATAGTGCTTCTAAAGATTCAAATTATTCAGAGGTCATAAGCCTTTTGCCTCGTTGTTTTACAGTTTGTTATTTTGGGTTTCACACTCCTTTATTTGAAGTTGTGCCCCATTTCTAAATGAGTTTATGATTATCCTACTAGTCAGGTTGAGCCCTGCTTTATGACTCTCTGCCTTTGGGGCATATGACTTATTTGTGGAAATAGTGACAACATTGGTACTGTTGAAGATGAGACCCATCTGATCCCCAGGATTGACCCAGAAAATGGAATCCAGCTAATCTCAGGCTGTGTATTCCTTCTGAATTGACAGTTACTTTTGTGACATCATATATATTTAAATCAAGCTTTATCATCCTTTCAGACTTTTGTATGCTAGGAATAGACATTATCACTTTACAAGCTGACAGTGAAGAATTTTTAACTTATGCATATTATAGAGCCTAGAGAATAAAGAATGCTTTTGGTTCAACAATAAAGTCTAATTCAGCTTTGTATAGCTGGTTTACCCATCAAATATAAAATATATTTTCACTTTTTTTCTTTTTTTATTTTTTTGGAGAGGTTTTTGCTATGGAGTGCATACGCTCGCCAGAAAGACAAAGAAAGACAGAGAGACAGAAAGTGAGAAATCACCCCCCAGGGGGATGGCCATCCTTTCTCCTCCATTCTCCTCTTGGGATCTTGAGAATGCACACAATGTACCCAGCGTGAGTTTAAGCTATTGGGTCCAGGACTCAAACCACGGTCAGCTACATGGGAATTCAGCAACATAGCCATTATGCTAACTGCTGGTCCCAATATTTTTACTGTGTGATGAAAGAATATATAGGACAGTAAAAAGGTTTTGTTTTTATTATTTTATTCATCAAGTCAGGAAGTGCTCCAATGTATATTCAGGTAAAATGTTCAGTAATTTTAGAATATATTGGATTGTTGGAAAAATCATGATGCATTTTTGTATAGAAAATAATGTCATAACTTTTCTGATGACCCAATAGTATTTTTCTCCCTCTTTTTATTTTTGCTATAGGGCTTGTGTGCTCGCAGGAGAGACAGAGAGAGAAAAGGTGAGAAATCACCCCCACCAAGGAGGGTGGCCACATCACGGTCCTTTCTCTCCCATTCTCTTCTCAGTATTTTGGCATGCCTGCACACATGCCCAGCATTAGTTTCAAGTCTCCGGGTCTGGGACTCGAGCTTTACCTGGCCATGTGGGAGTCCAGCGCTATAGCCATTATACCATCTGCTGGTCCCAATCCAATAGTATTTCTATAACTTCAGTAAGTATGTTAATTTAATAGAGGCAAAGAATAAATTAAGGGCACTAGCAGTTGGCATAATGACTATGTCGCTGGGCTCCTATGTAGTCGACCGTGGTTCAAGTCCCAGACCCTGTGGCTTAAACTCCTGCTGAGTGTGTGTGTGTGTGTGTGTGTGTGTGTGTGTGTGTGTGTGTATGTGTTTGTGCACGCACCCAAGAGGACAGTGAAGGAGAAGGGATTGCAGCGCGGCCATCGCCCCCCTGGGGGGTGATTTCTCACTTTCTGTCTCTCTCTGTGTTTCTCTTGAGTGCATGCTCCCTGTAGCAAAAACCTCTCCAAAAAAGAAAAAAGGCAAAAAATTGGGGGGATGGGGACTACAAAATCAGCAGTACAATGAGAAATGGGCAAATTCTGTTAATTTTATTTTAGTTTGAGGACGAATGTTATACCAATACTAATGCTTTGTTTTTTGTTTGTTTGTTTTTTTTTTCCCCTTATGAAGAGAAGAGAACAGACAGCAATGGCAGAGTATATTTTGTCAACCATAACACTCGAATTACACAATGGGAAGACCCTAGAAGTCAAGGGTAAGAACTTTTAGTTACTAGTTTATATATAACCTCTTAAAGATTATACCTTATTTTTGATTGAGTTATAAAGAGGATCAAAGTTACATATTCTTTCCTCAAAAGTCTTAAATATTAATTGCCTACATACTTTGAAAAAGGGAAAAATTATACTATTACTTTTATATAATGAAAGATTTGAGAGTATAGATTAAAAACTCACTGGATGGGACCAGCAGTTTCCATAATGGCTATGTCGCTGGACTCCCATGTAGTCGACTGCGGTTCAATTCCCGGACCCGGTGGCTTAAACTCACATTGGGCGCATGTGCTTGCATGCCCAAGATCCCGAGAGGAGAATGGAGGAGAAAGGATTGCGGCATGGCCATCCTTCCCTGGGGAGTAATTTCTTGCTTTCTCTCTCTCTGTCTGTCTTTCTGGCGAGTGTATGCGCCCCATAGCAAAAACCTCTCAAAAAAATAAAAAAAAACTTCACTGGAATACTTACATAGTAAAAATATTCATTTGTGGGACATAGCATTTGGCATAGCAGTTAGATCTCTGGACTTCCACATGGCTGACCATGGTTCGAATCTTGAACCTGGTGGATTCAAACTCACAGTGGGTGCGTGTACACCCACAATGCTGGGAGGAGAATGGAGAAGGGATTGCAGTGTGGCCATCCCTTCTGAGGGGTGATTTCTTACTTTCCCTCTCAATGTCTCTTTCTCTCTTTCTTCAACAAGTACATGTGCCCCAAGGCCAAAACTTCTACCCAAATAAATAAATACATATATATATATATAATATAAATATATGTTATATATTTACATATATAATATAAAGTGCACACACTCTATAGCAAAAATCTCTAAAATTAAAAATTTTTAAATAAAAAAATAAATAATCTATGGCACTATCTATCCTCCCCTCCCAATTATTAATTCTAAAATAGAATTTCTTTACCTGAGATCACTGGATATAGTTCAGGGTCTGTGACTAAGAGAGTGGGAAAGTGCATATTAGTTCCATTCATCTTTTTTTTTTAATTCATATTTTATTTAACTTTATTTATTTATTTACTTATCTTAATTTGACCAGAGAGGGACAGAGTGACAACCAGAGAGAGAGAGAGAGGGG